GGATAACAGAGAGAAGTTATCAGGAACGTGTTGCTTCTATCAGGAAAGTTGTAATTATTCTGTTATAACTAGTTTTGGTGATGTTACTGCTGTCTGGAGACGTAGAGAAAGAAATGTGATTTTCTTCACGTTACAGGATTACTGAGAAGACACAAACAGCAGGAGGAGGGTTCTGCTGAAGCCGACCCAAAACTGGTACCGGTACCGGGGAACAGCTGATCAGCTACGTGACGTAAATGTTAGCTAAGTCAGAATTTATTCAACAAACGTGTTTCCATCTCCCGTTTTGCGCATTAACTACTTTGCGAATCATCCAAAAACGACATCAAGCGAGTGTAAAAACTTTTTTAGCGAATTGAGGATTTTTTTTTTTTTTTCAAATTTTGCTGTTTCCATCCGACTTTTCACATTTTTAATGCGACACTTCTAAATGTACATCAAAAAGCCTTGATGGAAACCCAGTTAATGACATGTACTGCCAGGGAAGGGGTTCCCCAGGGGCTGTGCACTGTGTCTTGTAGATTGTGGAAGTTGTGTGTGAAATAAYGTCTCACAACCACACGACTGCGGGCTGGTGTCTCATCTTCAGATGGAGTATAATCCACCTTAATTCTTGCTTGGTTATGAGAGCAAATAGGTTCTGCAGTAGAACGCTGCCGTTTTATCAATACGTTCTTTCTATCTGTCTTTTTAGATGTTGGCAGTTGGCGTGAAGGCGGAGGCAGGAACTTGAACCCTGCATCTAGCACCCCGGAGCTGGATGCCAAGGCTCAGGAGGAGGACCTGGCTACCTCCACACCACCACCAGGGGAGCCTGAGGAGCCTGGCCGGAATGTAACAACAGAGGGTCCAAAAGAGAAGAAGGAGAGCAAGGAGAGGTTACCCCCAGCTGTCCATCCTCAACCTAAAGTTAATGGGGGTCAGCAGCCACCTTCAGGGGTTCCAACTCACTTTGACCCTGCTTTCAGGAGCATGATGCCACCTTATGTAAGTTACACTTTGATGCTCCGAACAGCAGACAAAGATCTTGTGTGTAACTAAACCTTTTGGTTGCGCTTTGTCTTTGCTGCACTTTGTTCCAGATGTTCCATGCCTATCCCCAAATGACATTTGCTCCAGGACAGGGAAACTTCAGATACCCAGTACCACAAGATGGGGGAAAGTAAGATTTAATTTTATGTATTTTATATCTGAAATTTTAAAAATACAGTTGTGGGATTATTATTATTTTTTCTTACTGCACAAGGACAGACACAACAATTCAGTTTATTTATAAACCGCCAAGTCACTACAAACATCTCAGGGCACTGTACACAAAAAACAATAAATGTAAAGGAGCAGTAGATTGTGTTGAATCTTCACTTCATCACGTCCATCCTGAGCAGCACAGTGGTGACAGTGGAGAGGAAACACTCCCTTTAACAGGAAGAAACCTCCAGCAGAACCAGCACCAGGCTCAGGACAATGTGCCTCGATCGGCTGGCTTTAGGGGACAGGTCAGAGACACAGAAGGACTSGTCCAGGTGTATTTACCTCTGGAAGAGAGGCAAAGAAAACATGTTACTGATAGAAGTAATTACAACAAACGTAGAGGAGAGAGACTACAGCAACAGCAGAGTTGATGGATTTGAATGAGTTGAAGTCGTCTGTGTAGCAGTTACATTTGAGGCCATGGTGGCGAATGATGTAACCAAGAGGGAGAAGGTAGAGGATGAACAGAAGAGGACTGACACCGAGCCTTGGGGGACACCTTGTGGCAGGGGTGCAGTAGAGGAAGAGCAGATGATGTGGATGAACTGTGAGTGTAGGAGCAGAAAATTAAGAGTCATCCACATTTTCGATTAATCTAACGATTACTTTTTCGATTAATCGATTATTCTAAAAACAAATCTATAAGTTATTCTGATGTGAGTGCACTGGATATTTAAAATGTTCTCATCAAATTAACAAGAACAGTTCTTTAATGTTGTAATATTTTCTGTTATAGTTTTTTTCATGAACCCAAAATATGCACTCGAGTCAATTCTTTAACAAAAAAAAAGCTTAAAAGATTTAACATCAACATAAAATCTCAACCAAAGCAAATAAAATTCAACTAAAAGAAACATAGTGTAAGATGTTAACAATCTAACAAATGAACTAAATCATGTAAAATTCAAGTCACTCTGGAAAAATCTATAATCATTTGTTTATTATTTTTTATTTAACATTTCTCAATATATAAAAATTAACAAATATCAAGACAACATCCAGCTCTTTGTATTGTAACTTCAGTTGTGTAACTTATTTCTTTAATGTGAAAACTGTTGAAAAAAACAAGACTGTTTTG